CTGGAAAACCGGCGGCAGAACCAGGCCGAAGGGCGTTTGACAGGGCCGGTGTGAGGGCAGCCGTGCCCACAGCCCTGCCCAGCCCCGGCCGTGTGTCCGTGTCCAGGGGGATGTGTCCGTGACCGTCCCCAGGCCCTGCCAGGTGCTTCCATGGAGTTCAGGAAGAACCAGGCGTCTCCAGGGCAGAAGCAGCTGCCGGGCCGTGGCCTGGGGGCAGTGCTGCTGTGTCACACCTGCCTCGGGCCCCTCTGAAGTGGAATGCTGTTTTTATTGGCAGCGTGTCACCTCGAATGAGATGCAGCTTTCAAATCACTCAAAGTCAGAAGACGCCTTCTTAAAATATTCTGGTGCTTCCCTAGGGAAAGGGAAATTTTTAATATCATCCTAACTGAAGGGCATCAGGGACTTTATAAGCAAGTTATTCTGGAGCTTGTGTCACAACCCAGGCGAGGAGGAGGGATTCTCTATTTCACCAGTACCTTATTTACAGAACAACCTGCCCAAACCATTTTTTTTCCCATTTCCAAGCCTTTTGTGATGCCTCAGATGAGGAAATGTTGTGGGTTTTTTTGCCAACCCCCTCCCCCCAACCCTGGTGTCATCCCAAGCAATTCAGGGGGATGCTGGTGAGAACACACATCTCCTCCAGTTACCCCCGCTCTGGAAATGGCTGGCTGGCTGGTCACGATGGTTTGCTTAGCCAGTAGGGAAGGACAAAATGTTTTCTAAGTAGTTGTGTTTTTGCTGATCTCTTTCAGAGACCTTTTGGCCCCTATCCCAGTCCACAACAGCTGTTGCAAAGCTCCTCCTCCTCGAGGGAGGAGAGAAGACACGTCAAAGAATAACTTCACAACATTAGAACAAAACAAGATGGGTGTTGCTGTCAACTGAGGAAGGGTCTGGTGGTGAGAGCTGTCGGTGGGACACACCCAGGGCTTTGCAGGACCATGTTTACCTGTCGCCTGCGTTGGTGGAGATCCAGTGCCTGGCAGGCAGGTCGCTTTCTGCCTCTTGTCCAAGTGCCGAGTCCTAAGGGAGTCAGCACCACTGCGGGGCAAGGGCAGCAGGTTGGCACACGGGAGAAGCAAGTATTGGAAGATCTGGAAATGCCCTTTGTCAGGAGAGAAACCGAGACCCTCTTCCAAGAGCAGCCTGTGACTGGGAACCAGTATTTGGAAGACGCTTTGCTTCGGAGTTACTTGAAAACTCACCTTCCTCCCAAGGTCTGGTGTGTATGTTTGTGTTTCTGGGTGTAGACACTAGCTAGCTCACTATTTAAGACTGTGAACTGAACTTTGCTCTCAGCCCTTCTGTGCTTTCATGTGTTTAACTTGGGGGAACTTACCCCCGTTCTTTAAAACTTTTCTTCTTTGAATCAGGGCAGGGGTGAAAAATACTGCCAGGACATAAACAGAAATGGAAAGGGGCATGTTCAGTTCCCGTGACTGGCCTGAGTGTTGCAACAGGAGTGTTGTTTGGGGATTGTCAGTGTGGGCATTTATTTATTGTCTGGTCATCCAGAGTAAGAAATTTCAGAAAAGTGGGAAAAAACGAAGGTGCTTCCTAACTCTGCTATGCAAATACACTTGTCTACCCCAGGAAGGGGGCTTTTAAGGAAATGACTTTCTGAGGGAACAGGGCTGTTCTCAGCTGAGTGCTCAAGGGGATGCAAAGGCCTGTTGGGATTTGCTCGTTCTCAGCAGAGCTGGTTGGCTTTTCTGGGTTGATTTTCAGACAGCAAAGGCTCTGTACAGATGCAGGGGTGTAGGGAGGTGGGGTAAGACCCTGAGCTGTGGGTCTCTCTTCTGTGAGGTCCAGTCCAATAGGAACCCCTGGGAGGAGGCAGCTCATCTCACTGTCTGTCCTCTCTCTCCCCCCAAGGACTGCAACTCTTCCCCACTTTTCAAGGGCCAGGTCTCAGAGAGACCAGTGTAACCTCTCCCTGTGGTTTACTCCAGCAGAAGCAATGCAATGACCTCTGAAGCCATGGGCTGAGTAGAGGGGCAGAACCTGGCTTTCAGTGACACTCTTCCTGCCACTGCTTGGTCTCCAGCTCTGTGAGGCCTTGCAGACATGGGGCTGTAAGAGTGTGGTGGCAGCACTGGGAGCTGGCTTTTGTCACAGCCATCCTGAGAGACAGGAGTGAGGCCTTTCTAAGCACCACTGCAGCCCTCTTGTCTGAAGAGAAGATGGGGAAAGGAGGATGCCTTTGTGCAACCATGAAGATCTTCCTCCTAATCTGCACCTGCGGAAGAAGCATGATTCAGATCTCCCTAATATATATATATGTATATATATATATATAAAATAAAAAATTAGTGATGCCTTTTGCCAAGGCTGAGAGCTGCTCTCCACCCCCCCAAAGAGACAAAGCAGCAGCACAATCTCCCAGAGAATCAGCAGCATCTCCCTTTCGTTTCTGTGCTTGGTCCCAGCGGGGCAGTGTTGCCTCACTGCTGAAAGGGAGAGCTTAGGCTGCTGTCTCCTTGTCTGCAGCCTGGCAGCTGACTCTCCTTGCCAGCACCTTTCTCTCCAGGAGGACAGCAACAGATGAAGTCTTGCGTGTCCCAGTGAAGCAGACACCATGCTGGAGGCTGATTCCTGGTGTGCTGATCACCTGTGTTCACCGGTGAACACAGAAGTTTTCCTGGAACGGGGCAAAAGATTCCTTTCCTTGAAGGTGATTTCTGGAGAATGCAGAAGCACCTGCTTTTTCTGGGCACCATTGTGGAGAGGTACCTGTTGGTCCTTGATCCCCCTGAAAATATGTCCTTTCATGTGAAGGAGCATCTCTCTGCACTCTTAATGTGCAATATTTTGTGCATTTCCAATATATTTATCCCTGGGATGTGAAAGGACAGATGAGGGGGAATGAGACCGCCCAGCAGGCGCACTGCATGTGGGAGCTCTTATTTTGTTCTTTAGCTTGGAAATAAAGCCTTTCCCTTGGGCATCAGGGTGGTTGGTGAGGCTACATGTGGTCAGGGCATGAGCTTACAGCTGGGCAGCAGGGCCTGGGTTCAGAAAATGTGTCTGAGGTGAAGGGACTGTTGTAGTTTGAGTTGGCTGTAGCGCTCTGACCTGTTTGGTAGACTCATATTCTGCCCACAAGGTACCACTAGATAAACAGTTCAGAAGTTCTTCTGTTTCAGGGATCAGCAAAGTCCATGAACCTTGGAAACTTCTGCCTCTAAAACAACCTTCACGTTGTTGTCAAGATATGATAAGCACGGGAGGCATAACCCATCCCAGCTGAGCTTCAGCAGCAGCAAACAGGAGGGCAGCATGAGCTGCAGCAGGTGGCAGGGCTCTCGTGCATGGTTGGGGCTTGTTCTGTGGTTTTTAATGCTGAGGATTTCATTGCTCACCTGAAGGAGAACTGGCTGCTCTGAGGATGGAGACTTCCAGACTGACAGCATGTGTTTCATCCTCATCACCCAGGCTGAGCAGGGTGTAGTTTAATGAAAAGTCAATACAGGGGGGCTTAGGGGAAGGAAGAAGCAGTGCTTCTATTTCATCAACAGCACATTAATGTGTTTTATAGTGGCACTATTTGGGGCACAGCAACCATGGCATTCATCTCCACAAGTGTAATTTTGAGGAGGAAACAGGCATCTCTTGTGGGGGTGGAGAACACCACTGATGGAAGAGCAGGTGCTTCTGTGATCTTAATTACAGCCCTGGATATTTTTATGCTAACGAGGATCCAACAGAGCTAGAGGTTGGGTCCATCTGGCCTAATTTTAATCATCTCTAAGTCAGGTTAATTCAGTCTAGGCGACTTCACCAGACATTGGCCACAGGCAGTGAGGAGCACTTGCAGAGGGTAATTCCTGTCAGCTGAAAATAGGTATCCTTAGGGTTGGAATGCATCTGCTCCTCTGCAGATGCTAGTTGAACCTCCATTACCTATGGACAGACTTTCCCATCCAAGTCAGCCAAGCACATGAATCCTTACCCAGGAGTGTTCAGGAAGCTGGATGCAGGGTGGAAATTGGAATCTAGACACCTTGGGTGCCAGGCTGAAGCTCAAATTATTGCTCCCTCCCTCCTTTTTTAATCTGATCAGCAGGTGACTACTGAGCCCAGTGGTGGCAGTTTTCCTGCACAGATGAAGTCCTTCTGTTTCTGGCAGCTCTTCCCTTGGCATTCTTCTGCAGCAGTAAATTATGGAGTGGCTGAGGTTGGAAGGTCCTCTGGAGAGCGTCTCGTCCAACCCCCCTGCTCATGTGCATCTGTGTCATTCTCAGCCCTGATACAAAAGCTCTTCTGTCTTTTGGAAAATCCAGAGATGCTGCCAAAAGCAACTGGAAAAAAAATTCTTTTTGGAGGAATAAAAGAAGTGAGAGCTGAGCCCAGCTGTGCCAGCAGAGGCTGAGACAGGCTGTCCTGCTGCATGACAGAATGCATGGAAGGGCCAAGTGGCAAGGGAGTGCTGGCACCACAGGACAATATGGTCACTTTTCTGCCTTTCCAGCCAGGCCTGAGGCTCCTTGCCTTCCAGCAGGCTGCTGAAGGGCTCTTCTGTTTGCTTCACAGGTACTGCAGGAGGTGCATCAGGATCTGGAGAGATTTGGGAACCGTCTGCTAACCAAGATCCAACCTCTAGGCTGGGAATGCGAGTTGAACCCCCCTGTGTTTCGGCAGTACAATGCCTGGGGGGAGAGGGTGGATCACATCCTCACCTGCCCAGCCTGGAGGAGGATGAAGGAGATTGCAGCAGAAGAGGGGCTGATTGCTGAGGCCTACGAGAGACGATATTCCAACTGGAGGTAACTGGGGGAGAACTGGAGTCACTTGGTGCCTTCCTGGTTACTCTTAGCAGGGTGTGTTCAGCATGTTATAGAACTGAACTTCTTGTTGTGTAAGAGGGAACAGATGATACATGGATAAAAGCTGGAATGTTCCACATCAGCAGTGATAAGCTGTAACTAATGGCCTATAGTTGATCATAATATTCTTTCATGTCACCTGCCTGATTCTGGGGCCTGGCAGTCCCTTGCTCTGCTCCAGCTTTACATGCATTAGCTGTAACAAAGCTAAAGGTCTGGGGTTTTGCTTGCAGGTACTCCAGCCTCTGGAGATAGACTCATAAGCCTTGTTTTTAAAACCTGCACTTACTGTGCACCAGCTGGCCAGCAATGCCTTCCACCACAGCCTTGCACTGGCAGTTCCTCTGGGACTGAGAAACTCCACTGCTTCTCTTCTCTCCTCCTGGCTGAAACAGTTTTTCCCCTCTCAGAAATGAGTAGTCTAATTCTGCCCTGTTTTGGCTATATTTTGTTCTGCTCTTCCTAGTCACGATGTTTTATCCTCCTGCTGTTGAGCTGCTGTGTAACCTGTCTGTTTCCACTCTTCCCTCTAGCCGTCTGCATCAGGCTGTCAAACTCTACTTATTTTCAAGCTGCTCTGGAGGTTTCAGCTGTCCACTGGCCATGACTGATGGGGCAGCCAAAGTCATTGAGGTATGAGCTCAGCAGGTCTCTGAGGGCACAGCCCACATCCTGGAAGTGCTGGCTGGAGATGGGAGCACTGGCCAAGGACAGAGGAGAGCTGATCTGCCGTCTGGCTCTGGCCACGGCCCATCCTTGCTTTGTGACTCAGCTCCATCTCCCACTGCCTTTCTCCTTTAATTACAAAGTCTTCATGCCCAGGTTAGCTTTTATATTTACCTCCAACATTCTGTACAATAAGGCTTTGCTGCACAGGAATCTGTGGCACTGCAGGTAGTTGGAACCACGTCCCATATATTTTTACTACAAGGTAGTTTGTTTTCCTCTCCCCTGTGTGGAGTGGCAGTTAAATCATAGAGTCACAGAATGGTTTGGGTTTGAAGGGACCTCAAAGATCATCTAGATCCAACCCCCTGCATGGGCAGGGACACCTCCCACCAGACCAGGTTGCTCCAAGCCCCATCCAACCTGCCCTTCAACACTGCCAGGGATGGGGCAGCCACAGCTTCCCTGGGCAACTTAGGCCAGTGTCTTGGCTCCCTCATACTGAGGAATTTCTTCCTGAAATCTCATCTTAATCTCCCCTTGTCCAGTTAAAAGCCATTCCCTCCTCCCTCCCCAGCTTTCCTGGAACCCCTTCAGGCATTGGAAGGTGCTCTAACATCTCCCTGGAGCCTTCTCTTCTCCAGACTGAACACCCCAACTCTCCCAGCCTGTCTCCAGAGCAGAGCTGCTCCAGCCCTCCCATCATCTCCTTGGCCCTAATCTATAAATGTCCCGGGCCAGATCCATACCTGATGTAAATTAACCAAGCAAGCAAGACTTGCCCAGTGTGAAGGTTTGACTCTGCATCTTGGCAATCCCCTTTGCACCGTGCACTTGCTCTGTGGGGTACAGAGCAGAGCTAGTCCTTAAAGTAGCTAGCCCTGAATATTTTACTTCAATAAAAAGAAACAGCACAGGTAGTCACCCCTTTCCTGCAGCTCTTGGGGTGCTGGTGATATCCAGCCTACATGAACCTATGCTGATACCCTGGCACACGTGCTCCTTTGCAAGTCCAGATGTCCAGCAGTGCAGAAATCTGAGGGAGGGTGGGATGATCAGCACCCCCCTTCATGACACAGGTTCCCATAGCGCTGCCACAGCCATGCAGGGGCTGGGCAGTGTCACAGGCTCCCAGCAGCATATCCAGCTGCACAGGGGGCAGGACATGGGGTGCCCTGCTCCAGAACAAGCTGGAAGATGGGAAGTGCCATTGAAATATGAGAAAAACTTCTTTCCTGTGAGGGTGACAGAGCCCTGGGACAGGCTGCCCAGGGGGGTTGTGGAGTCCCCTTCTCTGGAGACATTCCAAGCCCTCCTGGATGCAGAGCTCTGGGATGTGCTCTGGGCAATCCTGCTCTAGCGGGGAGTTGGAGCAGGAGATCTCTAGAGGTCCCTCCAACCCTGACAGTTCCGTGACTCTGATTCTGCTTTCAGACCATCCCTCCTGAGCCCAGGGCACACGAGCACTGAAGAAAGCAACTGTCTAATTTCATCTTCTGTGTTATGATCTTCTGAGTTTCTTTTTCCTTTCCCAGAACAGTCTCTAGGTGTTCCTGGATCTCTGAAAAATGCTTTTGAGCACCTGACATCCCGTGACCCCAAGAAGTTCTGGACCTCTGGGCAGTGGATGACGGAGCGCAGGGGAGGCTCTGATGTTGGTACGTGCTCTGAGGGGGAAGCAGCTGCAGCAGCAGCAGCTGGGTGTGTTAGTAAGAACTGAGAAAATGAAGGGTGTGGAGAATTTATAAAGCCAGGTAGCTGGTTGACGAAACTTCAGCAGAAGTCATCCAGATCCTCTGCATAGCTCTGCTTTTTAACCAGCAAGAGCTTCTGTCCAGTGATGTGTGCCATGCACACTGAGCTGTGTTCTTGCAGAGAGCACACACCAATGTCTACCTCTACAGTCTAAAACTTCAGCAAGACAATCAGACCCATCCCAGCTGGGACTGAGAGAACATTCTTGACCTTCAGCTTTTATTCCCTGGCTAATGTTAGTAACAGCACAGTGGGCCAGGAGACCTCGGAACTCTGCTGGGAGCCAAATGTGGAAGGGGAGACACCTGCATCTGATGAAACTGCAGTTGGTTTCCAGTGGAAGAAGTGAAGGGATCAGCTGTGGAGTGAAAGATGTCCACTGCAGGACTCTGGATTCTGTAGCACCTTTTGTTGTTCTTGGCCATGGTAGCTCCTAAAGCAATGGAGGCTCTGGGTTATGCACCATGGAGCCTTCTGCTCCCAAAGCCCTGCCACCACCAGCTGTCCCTCTGCAGCCATGGCTGGGAGGCATCTCCCTCCTGATGCTTAACTCTGCCTGTTGCTTGCCCAGGGTCAGTGAGAGAGATTAGCAGCTAATCCATACTCCATCTTGATAGCAAGAGGTGATTTAGAAGAGCTGCTGCTTAAGCCAAAAATCAGTCTTGATTGATACAGAAGTTCCCAGAAAGCCAAACTGATCTTCTCCTCTTCCCCTGCAGCTAATGGAACTGAGACAGTGGCCAGGAAGCAGCCAGATGGCTCATATCATCTCTTTGGCTTTAAATGGTTCACATCAGCTGCTGATTCTGATGTGACATTAACCTTGGCCAGGGTAGCAGATGCTGAAGGACAAGTAAAACAGGTCTGTGTGATGGTGGAACTTGGGAAGGAGCAGGGACGTTCTTTTTTCTTCCTTGTCTCACTGTAATGAAACCCTCTTTGCACACCTTTCCACGGCCCCAGGGTTCCAGTGGCCTGTCCCTGTTCTTCCTGAAGGTCCGGGATGAGGAGGGGAAGCTGAACAGGATCCAGGTGCAAAGGCTGAAGGACAAGTTGGGCACACGGCAGATGGCAACAGCAGAGCTGTGGCTGGATGGGGCTCAAGCAGAGCTGGTAGGTGAGAGTCCACCTTCCTCGTGGGGCTGGGCTGGCCTGGCACTGGAAACTGCTCATGGAGGGCTTGGCAGTGATACCAACTGGGGAAGTTCCTCTCTTCCACCTCAGTGGCTGGTTGTTCACTCCACAGAACACTTCAGCAGCAGGGCTGTGTGTGTGGCAAAGCTGAGAAGGGCTCAGAAAAAAATGGGAGGGAAGAAAAACAAAAAAGTCATGTTAGGCTGGGCATTTCCCTAACCCAGCTGCATTGACCCAACTGGGGACAGTCCTGTGTAGATGCAGGTAGGAACCAGAACTGACAGGCACCAGAACTGATCATGCTGACATGGTCTCCAAAGTCACCTCTCTGGTCGTGCCACAGACTTGGCTAAAAGGAAAGAGCTCTGTTGTAAAGCAAGCAGATCTTTGGTGGTGCCTGAGGACAGACAGAGGTGGCATGGACAGCTGGTATTTGTCTGTTCACACAAGTGTCCCTTGGATACACATCCTTTTCCCAGGCTGTGTGAAAGGAGATTCCCTCAGCCTTTGTTCCTTGATGCTTTCAGATCTCTGCAGAGGGTCGTGGTGTGGCCTCCATCTCCAACATGCTGAACATCTCTCGGATCCACAACGTCATTGCTGCAGTATCTGCCATGAGAAGGTGAAGGCAGCATGGATCCCCCCAGAGCTGAAGGAGCAGCTAATCAGGGACTTTGCAGTGCTCAGCACTGCAGCTGAGTGACACCCACTGCCTTTGCAGGCAGAGGGCTGGGAGCCAGCAGTGCAGGAGGAGGCTGGGCTGCGGGTGGGTGGCCCAGGCTGCTTGTGCTGCAGCTCAGCAGGGTTCTGCCAGTGGGGGCGGCTAGAAAGGAAAGCTCACAAGTGGAAGGTTGCTGCTCTAACTGCTTTCCCTGGCTGGATTCTCTCCAGGATGATCAGTCTGAGCAGGGAGTACGCCCGGAGGCGGGTTGCCTTTGGGAAGCTCCTCAAGGACCATCCCCTGCACATGCAGACCATCGCCCGGATGGAGGTGAGGCTTTTGGAGCCAGGCTGAGCCTGCAGGGGAGCACAGGGGGCAGAGCCCCTCAGCTGCTAATGAGCACTGCCAGCCCCTCTGTGTGCAGCACTCACCTGCAGGGGGCTGTTCTGCTACAGTGAGGTGTTTGCAGCAGTGGAACTGCCACATTCTAGTGGGACTTGATCTGATGGTAGACCTGTCTCCTCTGCTGGACTTCAGGATATCCTAAGTAGCAATTACTTGAAGCTATCCTGAGAGAAGTGCCAGAGTTCCTGGATGCACCTCCAGTGATATCCTGTGACCTCTGAAGTTGGTCATTAGCATCAGAGTCCAAGCATGACACCACAGCCTCCTAAACTGCAGTTAACAAACTCTTGTCCAAGCCTGAGACAGACTCATCCAACTTCCCTGGTAGCCCATGGACCAGGAGATGGGCTGTTCCCAGCAGGCTTGAAGAATTCCCAAGTAATCTCCATGCACTTTACCTTCTGAGAAATTTGTCTTCCCTGAATGCCCACACAGTGCTTATCACTGAGGTCGTGCAGCCTCTAGATGTGACTGTCACCTAAGGCAGTGAAAGACCAGGGAAGAGAGGGCAGCTTGGACTGGCTGTGGCTCTGGGCTTTGGGAGGAACCCCTCATGTGCCCTTCCCTCACTGCAGAATGTCTCACAGCTTTGCCACAGCACTGAGCTGTAGCAGCTTATTAAATCCACGGGACACAGGAGGCTTCCCCCCCCTACTGAAACTTCCAGAAGCAGGCACACAGTTCTCCTCCTCTTGCCCATCCAGGTGCTACTTTTTTTTCCTAAGTGGTGTTAACACCAACACGTGCCCTTGGCCAGCAGTAGGTTCATGCACATTTTTCAAGCAGTATTTTTAAATCCCTTTCCAAGACCTTGTGCCCACATCCCAGAATTGTGTATCCCTTTGAGATTGTCTCCTGGCACCTCAGCAGGCTGGGCTGGAATCAGCCACAGTCACAGACCCCCCCCCAGTGAAGCTCCCCCCTTGCTCTGCTTGCAGGTGCAGACACGAGGGGCATTTCTTCTGCTCATGGAGATCGTTCGTCTGCTTGGACTGGTGGAAACCAACATGGCAAGTGAGGAACACCAGCTCCTCTTGAGACTGCTGGTACCAGTAGCCAAACTCTACACAGGGAAGCAGGTATGGAACAACCAGGTTGATTAGGGTGGGGCTGTGTGGCATGTTAGCAAGCACAGAGCTCCAAAGAGGAGGGAGTTACATGGCCCACAATAGCAGGGGACATGGGCAGTGACCTGGAGTTGCTGGGTCTGCAGAAATTATTGTCCTGCACCCAGGCTGGACTTTGTGGGCAGAGGAGTTGTCCCTTTGCTCTCAAGATAAACCACCTGAGCAGAACAGACTGTGCTTCCCAGTGCTCTCTGGGAAGTGCTCCACATGCTGCAGAGGAATGCTGCAGGGGCTGCCCTGAGATCAGAGCCACAAGGAGCCTCTTTCCCCTAGTTATGAATAAATAAAAGGTGTTAATAGCTTAGCATTAATCTCCAGAGGGCTATGCCTCTTCTAACTGCCCTCAGCTTCAATACACAGAAGCTGACACACCATAGACAGGTCAAAGGTAAAGACTCTCCTGGACTAGAGACACATACTCCCGTGTGCCATAAACCAAGGTTTATCCTTACCTAGAGAGGACTGCATTGAGACAGACTCTCCCTGGATCTTCTGACTGCTTCTGACTGCAGATCCTCTCTCAGGGCTACTCACTCTTCATTCCCTGAATTCCTCCTGCATGTAATGAGCAGCCTGCCTCAGTAAATCAGTGGGATCAGTTCCCCATCCCAGCAGGAACTGCTGAGTGATGTTAGAGGTTTCTGGCTGCTCTTTCCCCTTGTGCAATGTGGATGATGTCAGCTCTCTGCATTTTCCAGGCTTCTGCTGTTGTTGTTGAGGCAATGGAGAGTTTTGGAGGACAAGGTTACATGGAGGATACAGGCTTGCCAGGCCTGGTCCGTGATACTCTGGTAAGAAAGCAGCAGAAGCTCCTGTGTGTCACCTGGTCCCTGCACACTGCTCTCTGGTTGCCTGCTTGAAGACGTGCTCCAGGGAGAACAAATCCTCCCCAGACTTGCTCCAGGCCTAGCAGCTCTTTCCTGGTTGCCTTCCAGCTGAGCCCATGGAGGGGACATGACTTGTCCCTGGTGCTGGGGTCACTTCCTAGCTCAGTTTTGGAGCTCCCAGCACCACTGCTCATTTCTGCTTGTGGTGAGGCAAGACACCCCTGGAGATTTCTTTGCTATCCCTTAGCTCTGCTCCATGTCTTTGTTGCCTCTCATTCCCCTTTCTTCTACTGCAGTCACTCCAAAAGGCTCCTTCCTGCTCTTCCACAGTCTCCTCCACCCCACAGGTGCTGTCCATATGGGAGGGAACAACAAACATCCTGTCACTTGATGTCCTGAGATCCCTCACCAAGAGTCAGGGGCAAGTGGTGGCTGTGTTCTCCTCCACAGTGCAGGTGAGTCCACATCAAAAGCTCCAGTCAGCCTGATCTGCCCACCCTGGCAGAGCCTTCATTTGGTGTTTCTGCTCCTAACTGGGCCTGGCAGGGGATTTGACCAAACCAAAAGCTTCAGACAGGTATTCAGAAGGTGTCTTAAAATTCTGCTCTTGAAACAGCACTTGGAAAAGCAAAACACAGGCAGTGCACATTTGGGGATGCTTGTGTGCTGCAAAGAAATGCAGATACTTGATCTCAGCAGTGAGTTCTGCATCATCAGAGCTCCTCATGACAAGCACCAAGTGTGTTTTTATGCCAGAGTCACCTTCCCAAGTCCACAGCCATTTGGTGGTTTCATTTCTTTAGTGGAAAAGCACCACAAGACTGTTGAATGTTAAACCTTCACCAAGGCTCCCTACTGTATTAAGCCTTTCTATTTTTATTCCCACTGAAAAGATGGAAAGAGCCAAAGGAATTTTTTAGATTTGCCTTTCTTTGGCTTTACCTGCAGGTAAAGGTGTTTCTAAAGGTGCTCAGAGGACAGGCAGTCATTGACAATTCAAAGCAGCTGAGAGTTTCTTGAAGGTAAATGAGCATCAGCTGTACAGGCCTGTACAGGGAGACAGGAACCAGCCTGGCAGGCACCATCAGCATATCAGAGGGTATTAGATTATTAGATCATTCATCCAGATAGAGCAACCCAGATTTCATCAGCCCAGACACACTGAGGGAACCCTGGGCTGAAGTGCTGGATTTGATCCTGTGCAGCCTTTGCTTTCTCATCCAGAGCCCCCAAGAAGGGAAAGATCTGGGTTCCTGCACTCCCTGCCACACTGACAATGGGATAGGTCTTTCAGAAACACACCAGCAAGGGCCTGACTCCTCACCAGGGGCTGCAGGTGGCAACTTCTCTTGCATTTCAAGCCCTCTCTGGCCTCCAGAAATGAGTGTCTTCTTGCCATCCTTTGAGACAACTTTGGATAAAGGGAAAATACCTCCAAAAATTTTACCACCAAACAAGAAACCCCCACCTGCTGCTGAGCAGGACTGAGCACACCTGCTAATTAAAAAGCCAACTGGTCCAGCTCTTGATAAAAAGATAAACAACCTCTTTCTGGAGCTCCAGGTGTCCAAATTCTTTTGGCCTCTGGGAGTCTGGCTCCTTTTGAAACATCCTTCCCATTCCCATCTTGTGAGGAAATCACTTAGCCCTTTTTTTTTTAGGCTTTTTACTGCTCCAATCCATTTCCTTTCTATTGAGCCATACAAAACTCATACAATTGATTTTATGTTTGTCCCTCAAGGTTTGTGGTTGACAGGATTTGTGCCCAGTGAGAGGCTGCTTTGGAGAACACAGCATTTTGTTAGTACAGCAGCACAGCACTTGCTTCTCTGAAGTCACTTTTCAGGGTCACTTTTCTCCTCCAACCCCACCTATTTTTATTTTTACCCTGTGGCAGTTGCCTCTGCAGATGGTGGGACACCCAGCCCTGATGGGGCTGTGGTATAGGAGCAGGAACCCAGTGTCCTAACATAAGAAGGAGATGGAGAGGGGCCAGAGAGGGGCCACAAAGATGCTCCAAGGGCTGGAGCACCTCTCCTACAAGAACAGGCTGGGAGAGTTGGGGTGTTGAGCCTGGAGAAGAGAAGGCTCCAGGGAGACCTTAGAGCACCTTCCAGTGCCTGAGGGGGTTCCAGAAAAGCTGGGAAGGAACTTTGGACAAAGGCAGGGAGGGATGGGATGAGGGGGAATGGCTTTAAACTGGGCAAGGGGAGATTTAGGTTGGACATGAGGAGAAAATTCTTTGCTGTGAGAGTGGTGAGACCCTGGCCCAGGTTGCCCAGGGAAGTTGTGGCTGCCCCATCCCTGGGGGTGTTGAAGGGCAGGTTGGATGGGGCTTGGAGCAGCCTGGGCTGGTGGGAGGTGTCCCTGCCCATGCAGGGGCTTTGATCTAGAAGATGTTTAAGGTGCGTTCCCACCCAAACCATTCTATGGTTCTGTGATGAAAGACAGTGAACTTCCTCATCCTTGCACAAGGTGATTATGAGAAGCTTTTAGGGGTCTTGATAACACAAACTACCCTGTCCAGAGGTAAATAGTCTGCAAAGTCTCAGGACAACACAGAGGGAGAGGGCAAGTGTGAGGGACAGTCCTGGTTTCCAGCTCAGCTATGGTGGGAGTTCCAGGTGTTGTTTCATGTCATACTAAAGGATGATTAGCTTTGATGTCAAGCCAGAGCACTGGGGGTACTTAAGGACTCACTCAAGTGACTCTAAAATAGCACTGGGGGTATTTTTGATTGCTGCATCTTAGTCACTTAAGGTTAAATTGGTGACTTGTCAGTGCAGTTTCTGACTGCCAGTCCTGCAGAGCCTGGAATCAACAGCCCAGTGCCTAGAGCCTCCCTGCACAGGGCTGAGACCCAGCTGGGAAGCAGCTGTGCAGTCTGAGCCCCCTGACGGTGTTTTCAGGCCCTTCCCAGACCATGACCACAATTTTAACACAGCAGGAAATAAATCCAGGTTATTGAGGGGCAACACTACCTGTTTGCTTGAAGCAGGACTGTGACACGTGCTTCTAGCCCTGCTCTGGATCATTATTCTTCAAGTAAAAGATACCCTGACTGTCTTGTTCAGTAGCTCATGGGAGCAAACAAACAAGTGGCATCTGAAAAGCCAAAGGAATCAGAGGTGTCACAGGATCACTCTGGTTGAAAAAGACCTTTAAGATCATTGAGTTCAACCACTACCCTAACTCTGCAGGATCCACCACTGGCACCACATCTGTCTTCTTAGATGTCTCCAGGGCTGGTGGCTCAACCACCTCCTTGGGCAGCCTGGATCACCCAGTCCAGCTCCTGCCCCAGAACAGGACAACCCCAAAGTTCACACCCTGTCCCTGAGGGTGTTGTCCAAGTGTTTCTTGAATATTGTCAGGTTCTGTGCCATCCCTGCTTCCCTGGGGAGCCCATTCTAGTGCTCCACCACCCTCTGGGGGAAGAATCTCTTCCTAATGTTCAACCTAAACCAGGAAAGGAAACAAGAGCTGCTTCTGCCTGGAGCACCATCCCTGGAGCAGCTCTCCAGCCTCAGAGGCTGGGGGGGGGGGGGAAAAACCCAGCTTGATCAGAAGCTTTTAGGGGTCTTGATAACACAAACTACCCTGTCCAGAGGTAAATAGTCTGCAAAGTCTCAGGACAACACAGAGGGAGAGGGCAAGTGTGAGGGACAGTCCTGGTTTCCAGCTCAGCTATGGTGGGAGTTCCAGGTGTTGTTTCATGTCATACTAAAGGATGATTAGCTTTGATGTCAAGCCAGAGCACTGGGGGTACTTAAGGACTCACTCAAGTGACTCTAAAATAGCACTGGGGGTATTTTTGATTGCTGCATCTTAGTCACTTAAGGTTAAATTGGTGACTTGTCAGTGCAGTTTCTGACTGCCAGTCCTGCAGAGCCTGGAATCAACAGCCCAGTGCGTAGAGCCTCCCTGCACAGGGCTGAGACCCAGCTGGGAAGCAGCTGTGCAGTCTGAGCCCCCTGACGGTGTTTTCAGGCCCTTCCCAGACCATGACCACAATTTTAACACAGCAGGAAATAAATCCAGGTTATTGAGGGGCAACACTACCTGTTTGCTTGAAGCAGGACTGTGACACGTGCTTCTAGCCCTGCTCTGGATCATTATTCTTCAAGTAAAAGATACCCTGACTGTCTTGTTCAGTAGCTCATGGGAGCAAACAAACAAGTGGCATCTGAAAAGCCAAAGGAATCAGAGGTGTCACAGGATCACTCTGGTTGAAAAAGACCTTTAAGATCATTGAGTTCAACCACTACCCTAACTCTGCAGGATCCACCACTGGCACCACATCTGTCTTCTTAGATGTCTCCAGGGCTGGTGGCTCAACCACCTCCTTGGGCAGCCTGGATCACCCAGTCCAGCTCCTGCCCCAGAACAGGACAACCCCAAAGTTCACACCCTGTCCCTGAGGGTGTTGTCCAAGTGTTTCTTGAATATTGTCAGGTTCTGTGCCATCCCTGCTTCCCTGGGGAGCCCATTCTAGTGCTCCACCACCCTCTGGGGGAAGAATCTCTTCCTAATGTTCAACCTAAACCAGGAAAGGAAACAAGAGCTGCTTCTGCCTGGAGCACCATCCCTGGAGCAGCTCTCCAGCCTCAGAGGCTGGGGAGGGTGGGAAAAAACCCAGCTTGATCTGACCCAGTGCTCTTGCTTAAGGAAGCAGTGAGTGTAAGCTGAAAAAAAAGTGTACATGAGTGGAGAGCAACGGGAACACAATGTCTTTTTTTCCCCCTAAGGTGAAAATGATGTTTTATTTTCCTGGCCAGTTGTGCCTGGGTCTTCCAGCCCCGAGCAGCGAAGCAGGGCAGGATGGAGCTGCTCATCCCCTCTGTGCTGGGCCTGTGTGACACTGGCTTCCACCCAAGCTGCTGGCAACACACTGGTGGTGCCTCTGAGGTCTTTGATCCTTGTTAGCAACAAGCTCCAGGCTACTTTTAAAACACCTTATTAGCATTCTGTGGGCTTGGAGGGTTCCTTGGACTTTATCTTGGCACTTGACCCAGCCACTTCCACGGTGGTGTTTTTGTATTTGTACAGCAGATGCTGGGAGTGCTTGTGTCCTGGAGCTCAGAGCAGCATCCATTGAGGACTGTGCTTTTCTTGTGGTGATAGTCAGAAAACACAGGGTGGTGGTGATGCTGGAGGTGTCTAGGCTGGAGGTGTCATGCCCAGACCTTCTGCAGAGAACAAACCTGGTCCAGCCTGTGCAGCCCAGAGTCCCACACTGCAAAGAAGCTACATTCTCAGTACTGGCACGTACTGCATCTTAAGCACTGAAAGCCTCAAAAACATAAAAAATTAGTTCTGAACAGCAGATACTTACAGGCTTCAGCTTCATCAGTAGCCTGCAAATGAGACTAATTAACAGAAAGTATCTCCTGCCCCCTTCTCTGCTACTTAAACGTGTAACGGTTCCTTGTTGTGATCCTGCCCAAGGTTGATCCTTTAGCTCTGCTGCAGAGGGACAGGTCTGGAGCACAGAACCAGGGATGGAAGGGACCTTCAAAGGTCATCTAGTCCAAACCCCTGCAGTGAGCAGGGACATCTTCAACTAGATCAGGTTGCTCAGGTTGTTCCAACCTGACCTGGAATGTTTCCAGGGATGGGGCCTCTACCACCTCCCTATGATGTTACCCTATAGATTGAGGGATAAGTATAAACCCCTGCAATTTGGTCGTTGTTGGTTTTTTTTCATAGAAACAATTGATATTCAGACCATTTGGATTTTGAGTGAATTACATTTGGAAACACACAGACTAAACTTATTCTGAAATCTCTGTTTGCATGATGACCTTTCAGATTGCTGAAGAGCTATTAGAAATACAGCATTATAGATGTAATAATCTAAACACTTGCTCTGAAAAGGGAACTAGTTCTTACATTCATAGTTTTCAAGCTGTTCCCATGGCACAGATCTGGCTCCTGGGCCACCCACAGCACCAGCAGGCCCTGGGGAGGCTCAAGTGCTGCAGGAGGAGATGCAAGGTCTGAGGTTGGTGGCAGCTGTGTGGGTGAGGACTGGCTCCTTCTCTGCTTGTGTGACTTGGGGGGACTGAGCTGTCACCCAGCCTGGCTGCTCTTCCCCTTCCAGCCTTCCTAAGAGGGAACAACAGGGACAAGGCAGGAGACAGCCCAGCCTCTGGTGGGCACATCCAGGCAGCCACAGGCATGGGCTGTCACAAGAGCAACTCTTCTAGACACTCTCAGCAGAGTAGCACTTGTGTTTCCACAAGGTATTTTGGATGCTGGAGAAATAGCAGCTTAGCTCAGCTGAGGGAGCTTCCAGGTGTTGCTTTTGGACACAGCTAAAGGCCTGATGTCCACTAGAAGAGAGACCTGTCCCACTGGCATGACTTGCAGAGAAAAGCTCCTTGAAATCAGCATTTTCCTGCCCAGACACAGCCCTACGGTCTGAATGAGGTGAAAATATAAAGATGGGAGAGGTCACATAGGATTAAAACCTGCTACAGGTATGAAATCTGAGGACTGAAGATGTGACCTGGTGCCCACATGCAGCTGGAAGGCCAACACAGAAACAGCCACACAATGGGCTCATGACAAGAAAGACATTGAGGGGCTGGAGGATGTCCAGAGAGGAGCAGCCAAGCTGGAGAAGGGTCTGGAGAACAAGTGAGGAGAGGCTGAGGGGGCTGGCATTGTTAGTTTGGAGAAGAGGAGGCTGAGGGGAGACTCCATCACCCTCTACAATTGCCCAAGAGAAGGTTGTAAGGAGGTGGGGGTTGGTCTGTTCTCCCAAGTGAATGACAGGACCAGAGGACATGGCCTCAGGTTGTGCCAGGGGAGGGTTGGACTGGGTATTAGGAAGAAATTCTTCACCAAAAGAGTGGTCAGGGCCTGGAATGAGCTGCCCAGGGAGGTGGTGGAGTCACCATCCCTGGAGGTGTTCAAGAAACATGTAGAGTTGGCATTTCAGGACGTGCTCTAGTGGGTGGGGGTTTTGTGATGTGGGTGGTTCTGGGTTTGTGTGTGTGTGGGGGGGTTGTTGTTTGTTTTCTTTTCCCTGGGTGGACAGTTGGACTCAGTGATCTTAAAGGTCTTTTCCAACCATGACAACTCTGTGATGCTGGGGCTCTGGCTCTCAGGAATTCTCTGTCCTCAAGCCAAGGCTGCAAATTTCCTTTTGGCAACGTCCCCTTTCCTGCCCCAGCTGCTCCACCTACGGCAGCACCAGTTGCAACCACCCTGATGTCACCTTCCTGCTGGTAGCTGCTGGGGGTGCTCAGCACCTCACCAGCCCCATAAATACCCTGTGAATTCTTCCTGTGACTGTTTTATGTGCAGAAAAAGCTGGAGCTGGCTTCGGGCACTGGGAAACTGGATCGTGCTGTGAAGCAAACGCAGGATGCCCTGAGCGGCCTCACACGGTTCCTGCAAGCAGCTGGTTCCAGGCAGGCAGTGACCATGGAGCTGGCAGCAAGAGACTTCTCCTACAGCCTAGCAAGGATCTATGCAGGTGATGGGCAAGGCAGAAATGATGGATTTCAAACCAGGAGAGGGCTGGGAATCAGTCCTAGAACAGCCAGTTTCCCTGCTCCTGGGTAAAGGGGCGAGTTTGGAAGAAAACTCCATCCCCACCTTCTTCAAACTGAGACAGCTCAGCCTGGCAAAGGCTCTAGAAAAGTAACCACCCCCCTTCTCATGAGCCCTTGTTGTTTTAGCTGGAGCCTGGGAATAACTGATGTCTCCCTCTCTTCTACAGGAGCCCTTTTAATAGAACATGCAGCTCGGCCTGATGCTTCCTCCGCAGATGTCTCTGCTGCTCAGAGGTGAGAAAAAAACCTCCTCAACCCTGCTCAGATGGTTCCTCATGTAGTGCATCTTTGCTCTGCCCCCCTGAGCAATCTGACCCCTCCCCCCTCATGGTGAGACCCAACTTCCTGTCATCATAGATGGGGACGAACAGCACTGAGGGTGGTTGCTGTCAACACAGAATCACAGGATCCCAGACTCGTTTGGGTGGGAAGGGACCTCAAAGATCATCTAGATCCACCCCCCTGCATGGGCAGGGACACCTCCCACCAGCCCAGGCTGCTCCAAGCCCCATCCAACCTGCCTTTCAACACTGCCAGGGATGGGACAGCCACAGCTTCCCTGGGCAACCTGGGCCAGGGTCTTTCCACCCTCACAGCAAAGAATTTCCTCCTCATGTCCAACCTCCATCTCCCCTCTTCCAGTTTTAATCCATCACCCCTTGTTCTCTTGCTACAACCCTTGTCCAAAGTCCCTCCCCACCTCTCCTGTAGGCCCCATCACAGCTTTTCCTTACCTTAGGAAATCTTGGTTCCAGCAGCCATGAGAAGGATCCCAACAGGGTAGACCCCAAATTGAAACCATCACTGGGGGGCTCAGACAAACTCTCTGCACTCCCTGTCCAGGTGGTGCAACCAGGAGCTGTGCCCCGTGGCCGCGGAGTCGCGGAGCGGCAGCTACGAGGCGGAGGCAGCGCTGCTGGACCAGGGGCTGGTGTACGAGGGCAGCCCTGTCCCCCCTGGCAGGCTGTGACCCACCCCAGCCCAGGGGGTCCAGCAGAAGGTGGGCAGCAAGCCAGCATCATCCTCTCATCCTCACATGCTTCAGACTGAGGTGCTGAAATGTTCTTGTCATGTTTTGGGCAAAGAGTCCAGGTAGCGACTCGAAGTGGCAGCTCTTGGAGACCCAACTGGGGTTCCTTTGAAAGAAAAGCCACCAAAAGCAAACTGAAAAATGACTTGAAGCTGATTAAATACAGAAAACTCACCATCTTTCCTGTTCACCACCCTGCTTTGCAGTGCTACACATGCTCTCCCACCCTGGCACCCCCCTGTGGTGGGATGTTCTGCCAGGGCAGCCTCTTCTGCCCCCTGTGGCTGCAGGTCCCCTCACATCACAAGCTGTGGGGTTGGGCAGTGACCCCCCCAGCCCAGCAGCTGATCCTGGCAACCCACTAGGTAAAACAAAGACTTTTTAACATAGATTTCCATGTTCCTCACCAAGGCTGCTGTTACATGAGGGAGTCCCAGGTGCTGCTTAGTCTGGCTCGTGCTTTTGATGCTTCCTTTTACAGAATTACAGAGTGGGGGGGTTAGAAGGGACCTCTGGAGATCATCTAGTCCAGCCTCCTGCTAGAGCAGGATCCCCTAGAGCAGATCCCAAAGGAACACTGCCAGGCAGGTCTGGAATGTCTCCAGGACATTCTCCACAACCTCCCTGGACAGCCTGTCCCAGAGCTCTTACCCTCAGAGGAAAGAAGTATTTTCTTATATTTAGGTTAAACCTCCTGTTTTGTCTCAAACAAGCTTTGTTTTTACTTTAAATTAACCCAGTGTGGAGGCTCTACCTTCACAAGTCTTGTTGGGCACCTCAGCCCTGCTAAAGCTGCTGACTGAGCTCCACAGTCACCCAGGATGAGAAAAACCTCAACCTGCTGCACTTCTAAGATCAGAGACTCATGGAATGGTTTGGGTGGGAAGGGACCTTAAACATCATCAGGTCTCAACCCCCTGCATGGGCAGGGACACCTCCCACCAGACCAGGCTGCTCCAGGCCCCATCCAACCTGCCCTTCAACACTGCCAGGGATGGGGCAGCCACAGCTTCCCTGGGCAACCTGGGCCAGGCTCTCACCACCCTCACAGCAAAGAATTTCCTTCTAATATCCAACCTCAATCTCCCTCTTCCAGTTTTAATCCATTCCCCCTTGTCCTCTCACTACAAGCCCTTGTCCAAAGTCCCTCCCCAGCTCTCAGGGATGTCACAGCACCTCTTCCTATTGATTTTACATGGTGTTTTTGAACACTGGAATTACCTTTTCCTAATATATGAGTTAGAATTTGCCTAAAAATGAGCTCCAGGAACTGGGAGCCCTGCAGATGCATCAATACAGAAAACACGAGGGACTGTAAAATTGTCACCGTGTAGGAAAATGACCAATTTATTAAGATCTAAATATTCACTCTGAGGCTACAGCAGAATAAATGCTGTTACAAACAAGTAAGCAAGGTCTAACACTTGATAGTGCTGCTGAACAGCTCTCTGCTCTCATAGGTTTGCATGTTTTAAAACACTTAATATTCTTGAAGTAATTAATCAAGACTCCAGATGTCATCTTAATACAAATTCCACCAAAAAAAGAGAACAAAAAAGTACAATCAAATGCATCACCTGTTGCCACTGCAAGGTAAAAATCGTAACAGAACTGGGGGAAATTGCCTTAAAAAACTGTTAAATAGTAGAATAAAACTTTAGCAGCATTTCAAAAATCTGGAAGTCTGAAGAATAAGGTAACCTTAAATCCCAAATCCTCTGGTGCAGGGGGAGTGGGACCTACAGACACGGCTGTAGGAAAAGGTTCTTTCTCTTTCTGTGTCCTTGCCCTGGTGCTGGGGGATTTCCTCTTTGCCAAAAAAGAGCAGAACTGTTAAAAAAGGAAACTTCACCCTGCACTGCTCTCCAGCAGCAAGCTGCCCGGGGTGGTGCTGAGCTGCTGCTCTGCCCTCAGAGGACAAAACCAAATCCTGGCACAAGCGCTGAGCTGGCGGCTCAGGCTGCACCAGGGGGGGCTGCCTCACCTTCCTCACTTCACTCAAAAAAAAAAAGACTCTAAACTGCTGGTTTTTAACCAAGAAAGGTAATTCCATGGAGCTCACAAGCCAGTTCCAAGCAATAGAATCTAAGGGATGTGGAACCTGACCTGGAGGAGGCACCTGAGCAAAGGGAGGAGCTGTCTGGGGACACCGACTCTGGGCAGTTTTCTCAAAACCTCCTGCTGACTGAATAATTCAGGATCTATCCCAGGGACAACCACAGACTGACCACAAAATTCCTGCCCACCCCCAGCTGCTAAACAAGCTCTGGGGCCCGCTCAGCTTCCCTGACATGCCCACTGCCCCTTGCAGCCTCCCAACTGCTCTAAGCCTCTCCCATCCCACACCAACAGCCCTTCCAGGGTGGCAGGTTCCTGACACCTTCTCCCCTGCTGGTTTTCCATCCTTCAGGTGGCTGCCACCACACCTCAGGGTACAATTAAGCTATGATTAGGGACCTGCTGCCCAGCCTGTGGGATCAGTACTGCCCAACACCTCCAGTGCCACCAGGCTGCAGTGCTGGTGCCATGTCTGGTGGGAAGGAATGGCTGGGCTGGCTGGTGTCCTGCCTGGGAGCAGAGGGACCTTCCCTTCCCAGAGCCTGTCCTGCTCCTCAGCCACTCATGCCATTTATGAGGCTCCTACTGAGAAACACAAATCACCTTGGAGGCAGGAGCTGTTTTACAGCAGGTAAGAAAGCAGCAGCTGCCAGAGGAGCCCTGCTCTGAGGGGCCCTTGCTCTCCTCCAGGCTCTTGTGCTGCTCAGTAAAAAGATTAAAGGAAGTTCATTAGGGAGAACTGACCAGTGGGACATGAGCTGCCACACAAGGTCACCCTGTGCTGCTCCCACAGAGCTGCCCTGCCACTGACACCCCTGATGCGTTGCCCTCCTGTCCAGGAACAGCCTCACCCCAAGTGGAGGTGGAAATTTCCTCACTCCCTTTGATAGGAGCTCAGGAGGCCCACGGGGTTCTGCTCAGCTTGGAGAACATCCCAGCAGGGCAGTGTCCAGGGCTGGGAGCTCTGGGATGCAGGGAACGTCTCCATCCGCTGCTGCAGATGATGAGTTACTGAAAAAACACTTCAAAGTAACTCGAGTGAAAAGGAGCTACATAAAATCAAACCCTGCTGCTCCTCTGCATGTTCTTAACAGGGCAAAACATTCTATTTGCTTTTCCTTCTTATTCCTGAAGCTGTAAATACAACCCCCAGCTGTGACCACAGCTCGGCCCAGAATCTGCTCTTTTGTTTGATGAAATAAATACCATCAGATCATAAAGCAACTGGGCACCATGTCTGGTGGTGAGAACAGGCCTGTCCAGGTAACCCACAGTTGCTCAAGGAGCTCTTCAGGCCCTGAGGATTCAGGGCAAATCCCCCCTCAACTTCAAATACGTAAGAAAAGAAGGAACTGACAAGAGCAGGAGCTCGAGTGAGGGGAGTGTGTGTGGCTGAGGGGCTGGAGTGAGTGAGCAGACCTAGGGAAGGGAGAATACTCACACCCCTGTGCAGGAGACTTCTGCAGGACAAACAGCAGTTGAGTTTTCCATCCTTTGGGAAAAGCTTAAAAGATACTGAACCTGAGCAAGTTGGGTTTGTTCCCAAAGAGCCACAGCCCCACCATCCAGCATTGAGGATACGGCAGAAAATGTGCAAATGAGACCCCAGCTCTTTGCTCCCCCAGCACTTGCTCCAGGCTCAGTTCCCTTCCCAAGGGTCACGGGGAGCTGGGGGGAATTCCCTGGCAGCCTGAGCCACTCCTGCCTCTGGGCTAACACCTTGGGATCCACACTTTGAAAGATGATGGTCAGTAAAGGGGAACAAGACCGAGGCAGAGGAGACTCTTACACAGCTCCCAGCCCGAGAACTGGGATGGTGCTGCTGAGCCCTGGTGGTGCATGAGGTTTGGGTCAATTCCCCCTCCCTGGGACTCTTGCTCCAGGCAAGCCAAGCTTAAGATGTTTGTTTCTTCTCAGTTTAGGAGCAACAGTTTGTTGTTCCTTGCAAAGACACATAGTGGAAAAGAAAGGACTGGGAGGTTGGCTTCAGTCTCTGTGATCAAAGGTTGTTCCTGC